CAGGAATCTGTATGTACTCTGACAGCTGTAGTTTTTTGCCGGGAGAAATAAATCAAGAAGTATTATTTTTTTTTCTCAGTGCCTCTCCTCTGTAAGAGAGATCAGTTGGCCTTAATTATAAACTGAATTACAGCTGCAGGCAATCTTGATATTTCTTGGGAGCGTGACTTATGAGAGATGTCTGGACTTGATGATCTTAAAGGTCTTTTCCAACCTAGTTGATGCTATGATCCCATGTGGCACCGCACTGGATTTTTTGGTCTGAAACTTTGTGATGTTTTTGGACAGTCAATAACTTGAATGAAAAAGTATGGTCTTTGTGAGGCTTTTGAATAAGAAATGTGCTGTACTGCTATTTAACTGTTTATTTAACTGATGATCAGTTTTGGTGAGTGAAGTGAAAGGAATGTGCTAGCTTTCTGGAGATGAACAAGAAATAAAAAATGAAAGGGAAAGTAAGTATCAGTGAAAGATGTTTCTGACTGCCTTTCAATTTCAAATTGGGCTAGTTCTACCTTCTGAAAAGAAAATAATTTCCACGTTTCCGTAATAGGGAACATGTAATTGAAGTTATTTTCTCTCAGAGAGAAGCAGCTTCTTCTACAACATTTGCAAATGGACAAGAAAAATGACCACATGCAGTGCACTCTGAATCGCAGTGCACTCTGAATCGCAGTGCGCTCTGAATCACACTGCATTCATCACAGCATCATTTTAGATGTCACTGTAGATTTTGGGCTGAAGGTTTTTACCCATTTGGGTAAATATTTATATGTGGATGGGGAAGATTCATGTTGGTGAATGCACTGCATCTGGGCAGCCATTACATCTGAGACAGCTGACTACCAGTGAGGTACAGAGTAGAAAACATGTGCCATAGAAGCACTGAAACAAGTATCGACTTCATGTACCAAAATAGTTATGCAGTGATTCCACAAGACTGCTTCTTTTGACCTGGCTTTTTAGGAACTGAACTTTAATGGGGAAGACGGCCAGATGTTGTTGCAGTACTTCGAGATTAGCACAAGCAGTTAACATACTTCTTTTCATTTGTAGCATGAAGATATTTTCTATCACAGGGTTTAAGCCTGCAAATACCTGTATTTTCTTAAACATCCTATTAATTAAGCATGCAGGACAGTGTTTTTTCATGAATGGATTTGCATCTGCATATGTAAGTGCAATCATGGTCTTCCCTCGGTTTTTGCTCAGTTTTTGTTGACAGTAGCCATGGTTGGACTCATGTGCTCATTCTCCCAAAGCATGGTCCTTCCTGCTGGGCTTCTGGTGACTAAGGCTTTTTTCTATTTTCATGGGTTAGTTTATCATCCCTGATGTTGCTGTGGTTAGCCAGACAGAGTGGTGCTCAGGGAATTTGGGAGGCCATGTTTTGAGCTGCGCCTAGCTAAGGAAGTATATGTTTGTGTGCATTGAGGCATCATGGAGAAAAGAGAATGCATGAAAATAACTGTGATAGATTATACAGCAAATTGGTTTTCTAGACAGCCTTGATCATTGTACAGATCAGGAAAAATAGAGGAAGTTTAATAAACAATAACAACACAATTCTGTTTTGTGAGAAAAGCCAGAGTTATATTTTTACCCTGACCTAACAAAGGAGGAGGAAGGAAGCTGGTTTGCTGAAACAAGCATTTTAGGTTGAACTAAGGATACACTTTTCTCTCTGTTTATGTGCGTGCATGTCCCAGCAAACTCAACAGTATGTTCGTATGTATGAAATGCATTTTCCTGGAGGCACATAGTCATCATGTGTAATGTGAAGAGGAAAAAGATGTGCCTAGCACTGCTTAAATGTTGGTCAAAAAGGCACAGCATTTTAGTCAAAATAGTTAGCGTCTCATAATTTTGTGGTTGGCATTTGTTATTTTTGCTAACTTTGAGTACTGGATAAGAAATCTGCCTGGTTTGGAAAAGTGCAATGTAGATAAAATATGAAAGCTGACTATTTATTGTGTGTATAAGGCAATGTGGCCTCCAAAACAAAAGAGAGTTAGACAGAACTTAAAACCTGCAGATTTTGGTCTTTCATTTTAAGTGTCACAGCCCAAGCCCTTACTGAAGCAGACATGAGCAGGCCTCCCAGTCAGGAGGTGTGGGAAGCTGGCATGAAAGGAAGGGAGAGGCTTCCCACACCATCTCCCCAGGGTGTCCTGCCAAAGCCTGGCTGGTGGTAGTCTGCAGGTGGGATGGCTTTGCTTTTGTCAGAGAGTGGCCAGTGTAGGTCTGTAATGCTGAGTCCAGACCTAGTGGATGGTGTGCCAGGCTGAGGACATGGGTTAGGGTTAGCAGCCTGCATTCGAGTTTTGTCTTTGCCTTAGAGCCCATGTGTGATGATGGGCAAATTGCTTCAGTTCTGTGTATCTTGCTTCCCTTTTCTGTGAACATACAGCAGCTCATGCCTTCAGATTTGGTTCATGTATATTATAAGGCCCAAGAGTAAAAGCAGTGTTTCAGATTATGTATTGAGAGAGCCTCACAGAAGAGGCTAGATCATAGCATATCCGTGTATTTGTACCACACTGGTGATTGCTAATGGCAGGAAATATGGGCATGGGGACCATCAGCAGCTTCGCACCATACTGTTTTCTCAGTTCAAAGTCTAGGGAAGTTGATGAGGTGGCAATGGTCATTCCTTTCTGCATGGAAACTGAAATAAGTACAATAGATGGAATAATATTTTAAGAGGCTCAGTTGCCATATTGATTTCTCAAGCTAATAAATCCTTGACTGCACTTGTTGCGTTAAAATATACATTCAGGCAAGATTCATGATTGGCTCTTAGGAACAAGTGAGCAAAGGGAAAAATCTGTTCCAAGATTAAATGCTTTACATTTGGCACCTTTAATTAGCTTATTAATAAACCTTCTTTCAGGGTTATGCTATTTATTATTTCTAATGAAATAGTTGTCAACTAGCCTTCTAAAAAGAGCCACAAAGCACTTGCGAAGGGTGTCTGGGTGTGCTGGGTCAAGTACCTGGCTCTGAAACTCCTAGTCATATGAATGGCCTTATCCTCACCAAAATGATATATCCCACACAGATGGCACTTACATGACGTAGAAAGCAAATGAAAGCCCTGTGCACCATGCAGGCTTGTTTTCCCACATGAAAAACTAAGTTGTGGTAACCCAAACACATCAACATGGTTGCATTTGCACAGTAGAGTCTACTGAGCTGTGTGTTGACATTCAGGATTTCCAGATGTTCAACAGCTTCCTCAGAACAACTACTAGGCGTTTAGAAATCCTGGACAAATGCACAAAATCCTTGAATATTGCTCAGGAAAAAAAAAAAAAAAATTGAGCAGAAAAAGAAAACAGCTCCGGGAAAACCTGAATGTACTGTAAGTCCAATCTATATTCTCAGTCAGGAAGGCTGAATATATGGCAAATAGACCTCGCACAGCCCTCCAGGGAAATTCATCCAGCCCACAGCTTATTTCAGGTGCCTTTTCTTCCAGGGACTGGGCCCCCCATCTCCCTTGGGCACTGCTGCTACTCTTAGAGAGCAGTTGGTGGGCAGGCAGCAGGTGAAATTGCTGTATTGTGTGTGCATGGCAAATCCAGCACTTCCAAGGGATATAGTAATCTGCTGTGCTCACGGCTGCAGCGCCTGTGCGATAGAGCAGGTCAACAAGTGCAGAGATGATGGTGTACAGCTTAGCATAGGCCCTAGAAAAACAAAATATGACAAGGTCAGGAACATCCAAGTGTTTGGTTTCTGGGAGTAGATGATTGAAGTATTATTGCTAAGCACCATTCTGAGACCTTCTCTACATTGATTGATGTCTTATTTGAAATCTCCTTGCCTGAAAGAAGAAAGCATAAAAGCATTTAGCTAATTCTCTTTCAGTGCTTTAAAACTGCCGTTCTCTGTTGAACATAACCATCTCAATAAAGATTCATCATGTCAGATGTAGTCCCTATAAGCCAGATAAAAGTGGCCAGTGTATTGTTTCCTCGGGAACTTTACATTTGCTTCCCATTTAAGTAGGTATGGAGCATGGGAAAATGTTTCCTTGTAGTCTAAGGCTTACAAGTTTCATACCTAAGGTTCAGTCATTGATGAAGGCAGCAATTAATCAATGAAATCACTTGCTTTACTGAAATGTTGCATTTCATAAGTTAATTTTCAGGAAAGCAGTGCACACATGGAAAGCTGATGTCAGCATGTTTTGATCTCTAAATGACTGATTTTCTAATTCTGGACAGCAAACTTAGCTTCATTTAAGAAACTTCTAGGCATGAGACTATTTCTGTGCTTCTCAAAATATGCCCATACTTGTGCTGTTTTCCAGGGAGGCGGCTTACTCTGACAGACTGTAAATATTGTATGCCAGCTGTTAGCATATGAAGGCCAAGAGGTCTCATTTTCTAAGCACATATTAAAACCTTTGTATCCCTAGCACTAAAAATCTGTGGACCAGCTCCCACTCTCACTAATGTTAACAGCAGGATTTGTGTCAAAACAAACAAGAAGAGAGCAGAACTAGCAGATTGGGATTATCTGTCTTTGTCCATATACTCCAACACTGTATGGATGATTACTCTAGCATTTTTTATATTACGTTGTTAAGTGATGGAAGCTTTTACCAAATCCAAACTGAAATGCTTCCAAAGCCTTTTTCACTGTTGGAAAATGTTTGTATCAGGTTATCCTTGGAATAATTTTCTCCTGTGTTTATTCCTCTGTGCTACCTATTAGGCACCTAATAATGAGTCACAGAATACTTCTTATTCTAGGAGGACATATAGCACTTCACTGGATGTTTTTAGAAGTAATTACATTTAGTTATTAGTAATTACATTTTTAGAAGTCATTACATTAAACAAGATGGCTACATGCATGAATCCCTTGGGTTAAAAAAGAAAAAAATAAAAGCCAAAATAAGACAAAGAATGAAGTTCAGTACTGAACAGCCAATAGACCCAGGTACCATGCTTTTATACCGCTTCACAGACTGTACTTTTTTTTTTCAGAGTGGGTACCCAAGCTCTGGACCTGCATCAAGCACTCCTGTCTTCAGGCCTGAAGATGAGCTGGAACATCTGACCAAGAAAATGCTGTATGACATGGAGAACCCTCCCTCTGATGAATACTTTGGTGAGCAGTGCTATATCCCCTTCCTGAATTTACCAGGTTTGGTAGCAAAGAGCCTGACAACTGCACTGTTAATGTTGTGGCATTCATATTGATGGATTTGCTTTCCATGTCTGGGCTGGAAGTGTAATCATCTATGGGAATTCCTCTGTAATTCCAGCATAAATCTCATGCTCACTTGCTGTATGTTTATAGTTTTTCTGGTTATGAAGTGGATTTTTCAGTGTCTGGTTCAGTTTAACACCATCTCTCCCCAGGTTACCAGGCTGAATTCAGGTGTGGTATCCTGTCTTGCCCACCTGCCCTATCCCTTCTCATTGTAGCTGCCAAAAATCTGGCAGTATAAATATGTTCTGCTCCTAAGGCATCAATTCTCATTTTCTGCATGCTGGCATAGATTAAAAGGAAATCCATTTTGAGTCAACCAGGCTGGTTTTACATGAGGACCTGTTAGCCCAGAATTGGGTCTAACAAGCACGAGGAAGACAAATCTGAAATGATTGGCTCATGTTACCTTATTTGCCTGGAAAAAAGATAAGCCAATTTCCTTCTTAAGTGGTATACAACAGAATTAGGCATCTATAGGTGTAACATATGTATTTTTCCTTTATATAAAACACAGGTGATATGGCCTGTGAACTCTACATTATAGTCAAGGGCCATGGGCACATTTGATTCATCTTGTGTGTATGCTTATTTTCCTACAGGTTTGAGTGATAGTGTGGTTAGGAAACAAAGGAAACAAACTGCTATAGTTTGCAGAGTTAGAGACTGGGATAGGCAATTCATTTGTGTTCTTTGCCTTCCTTTATTTCATAATTTCCAGGGAAAAAGAAAAAATAAAAATATTGCCCCCTAGGTCTGTTTGCAGTAGATTTTGGTTATACCAAAACATTTCTCGCTTAAAGAAACTTTTGTGGTTTGGTTTAATTAGAAAGTGGGTGGGACCAAGATTTCATTAATAAACACGCATCTGATTACATGAGAAGTTCAAGATATTCTCATCAAACAAACATTGCCCTTGTAGATGGGGTTGATATCAGTCCTCATTCTCCATCAATACTTTACCTTCTACCATCTCCACCCTAACAGATGACACGTCTTGTCTATAAATGTTGATGGTCTTCAGAGTTGATGACTAGCACAGATCTGAGGTATGAGCAAGAATGACTGAAGAGAAGCTAACCAGAGAGCATTTTCTGTGCTGCTGCATTTGACTTCATCTCTGCCTGTCCCCTTTTGTGTTAACTCTTCAATGTTTTAAAAGCAAAGTAACAACCAGGCAAATGTGACACATATTTAGCCATTAGCGTGGGCGGACTAAAGGGAGGAACTTTTTCCCCATTCCTTTCAGACAAATGGCTGAAGCCCCAAATCATGAGGTTTGTTTACAGTTATTTTCTTAATGCAGAGCTGTGAGTGGCAGGAGCTGGTTGATGAACCAAAACCCACCCAGTTCTCCTCATAGCCTGAGAAAGTAGTCAGGTGAACAAAGAACTTGGAGATTCATGGGCTTGAAGGTCAGAAAGGACCTTGCCATTATACTGCCTAATGTCCTACTCTCAGTTTCTGCTAGAAACATGATTGAATCATGACTAAAAAAACCAAAACTAATCTCATCTTAAAGACTTCAAGCAATGGTGAGTCAACCACCTACCCTCATAAGATGTTCTAGTGATTAATTTTCCTCACAGCTCAGAAATTGCTTCCTGCAGTGAAGCTTTAGTTCTGTTTAGCACTTGTATTTGTGGAGCTGAAATGTTCAGATTTTGCAAAATAATACTATATCACTAAGATGGTTCTGCTCTGTTTTAGAGTGTGGTAGATCAAAGTTTTTCATCCAAAGGGATGCATAGCTCAAAGGGTTGGGACATAAAGTCTATCAGCGTTAGGTCATCAATGTGGCTATCTGATGGGAGGTCAGACCACTGCCATGCCAGTAGTTCTTAATTTAGCAGGAGACAAGAAAATGGAAATGAGGCTCCAGAGCATTCAGAAATTTTGCCAGTCTTGTTTATAGAAGTGGTACCACGATCAAAGATATAATAATCATGCATGATGCAAGCTGAAAGATGAAAACCAAACAAGACTAGTCCTACCTTGGGCAGGTAATATTTAATTACAAGCTGCACCTGATTGATCTTCTAATTGCATTGAGTCTGCATCACTGCAGGTCATCTCTGAAGAGGTGTTCAGCCTTTGCATTCTTGATGTGCCGAAGAAATGTGTTGGGTTGAACTCCTCAGCAATCTAAGCATGTTGTGCCCCATGCTGCCATTTGGGAGACATAGCCACAACTAATTACATACCTACCAAAGAAAACATAAACCCAGCAGTTCTGGAGCACAACTGTTTTTTATGATTGGATAAAATCAAAGAGGTGGGCTGCCCTCATCCTCCTAGGTCTGCTCTAGCCCAAGCTACTCCCAGGGGAAGATGGTCTCTGGAGTCATAGTGGATGCAGTTTTTTGATATGACAGTGCAGGCCAGGAGTTTTGTACTAATTCTGCCTATGTCAGAGCTAAATACCCATCTAGTTGAGCTGTCAGCTAGTGCCTTTCAGTAACTTCATGCTCATAGGGAAAGAACAAATTAAGTGTGGAAGGAAAAAAAGAGTCTTTCAACTTTGGCTAACTGTCTCAATCAATATCTCTGCCTTTGTTCTTTATTTGTTTAGCATGGTAGCATGGATTTTACAAGATTCATGTGGCACATTGATCAAAAAATCAGAAAAAGGACAAATGGGCAGAGACATTGACTCAGATTTTGCTTTAAGTATCTTCTGCCTGAGGTCTAAATGCCATTGTAATTGTACCACACCAGATAGCTGTCAGCTAATCTTTTTTATTAGTTTGAATTTAGAAAACTGGATTGCAGCATATTAAAAGTTGGTTAAGAGCAGATAGGTTTTGAATTGAGGAATCTAATTAACCTTGCTAGAAAGCTGTAAGGCGCTATATTAAGTCATGAAAATAATTTGTTGGAATAATTACATTTGCACTGTCAGGCTGGAGAAAGGTCATTTTACATGGCCCACCAGCACTCTGGGATCTTTTCTGTAACCATCTTCCTTCTGAAATTTCACTTGCCATATCTCTGGTTTTCAAACCATCTTGATTCTGGAGTCACTGTGGGCACAGCTGAGGTTCCTGGGGAAGGAATAGGAGTAGGAACCACTGAAGTCTCTGTGCCCTGTAAATGCCAGCTGGTACTGGGGTTAAACCGTGATGCCAAGTGAACTGAGTTCAGGAGCAGGTCAGCCAGCACTTCCATCAAGTCTGTGCTCACTGCACCTCCCTCCAGCTTCCCTGGGTGGAAATAACTGATGGTGGTTTCAGAGTCTGGGAACTTTTCTAGCCAGTGATAGCCCAAGCAAGCACAAAGAGCTGGCAGCATGGCATGGTTCATACTGTGTTCCCAGGGAGCCTGGATGCATGGTAACAGCCAGGAGCAGCATCCTGGAGGCACACTTCGGAGAAGCAAGATCACAGTTTGCAGATGTTTGTTGGTTGGACTTACCACAGCAGCATGATCCAGTCACTGGGAAATCCTCTAGGGGCCATTGACAAGGCAGTACTTAAGCATGGAAATATCATTAAATATAATAATAGTAATAATAATAATAGTAATAATGATGATGATGACAACAAAAAACAAAGAAAAACCAAAAACCCACTGTGAATGTTTAGGAGTTAAACATACCTATTGGTTATTCTGCCTAACTAGAGTTTTGTGGTAAGGCCACGTTACTAAACTAAGTCTACACGCCCTGATTTTTGGTGTATGTCCCTTCCTACCCTCCTGTAGGGCATGGAGTGACTTAAGGAGTAGCTTCTCCTGAAAAGTGCTTGGTAGGTCAGCAAATTGAAGTCTCTTAAGTCTAAGCTACTCTTCCTTCTTTACTGCTGATTGAGTTGCTGATCTGTGGTACTTGGCTGGTCTTAATCAAAAATGCCCTTTTACTAGAAAGGATTCCCAAATGTGTTATGTACTGTGCAGTAGGGATGGTTTCTGTCTGTCGTGGCCCCCCCCCCCGTTGATAAATGTGCTATTGTAGATAGGTGTAGAATCATAAAATCATTAAATAGTTAGGGTTGGAAAGGATCTCAAGATTATCCAGTTCCAACCCCCCATCCATGGGCAGGGACACCTCACACTAAACAATGTCACCTGAGGCTTTGTTCAGCCTGGCCTCGAGAACAGCCAGGGATGGAGCATTCACAGCTTCCCTGGACACCCACTCCAGTGCCTCACCACCCTTACAGGAAAGAATTTCCTCCTTATATCCAATCTAAACTTCCCCTGTTTAAGTTTTAACCCGTTACCCCTTGTCCTATCACTACAGTCCCTAGTGAAGAGTCCCTCTCCAGCATCCGTGTAGGCCCCCTTCAGATACTGGAAGGCTGCTATGTGGTCTCCACGCAGCCTTCTCTTCTCCAGGCTGAACAGCTCCAACTTTCTCAGCCTATCTTCATATGGGAGGTGCTCCAGTCCCCTGATCATCCTTGTGGCCCTCCTCTGGACTTGTTCCAACAGATCCATGTCCTGTTTATGTTGAGGACACCAGAACTGTACACAATACCCCAAGTGAGGTCTCATGAGAGCAGAGTAGAAGGGCAGGATCACCTCCTTCAACCTGCTGGTCACACTCCTTTTGATGCAGCCCAGGATACGGTTGGCTTTCTGGGCTGGGAGCGCACACTACAGCTGCCTCGTGTTCATTTTCTCATCAACCAACACCCCCAAGTCCTTCTCCACAGGGCTGCCCTGAATCTCTTCTCTGCCCAGCCTATAGCTGTGCCTGGGATTGGTCCAACCCAGGTGTAGGACCTTGCGCTTGGTATGCTTAAATTTCATAAGGTTGGCACCTGCTCACCTCACAAGTGTGTCAAGGTCCCTCTGGATGATATCCTTTCCTTCCAGCCTATCAGCTTGGTGTCATCATCAAACTTGCTGAGGGTGCACTCAATCCCACTGTCCATGTCAGCGACAAAGATGTTGAA